TGAACATTTTCTGCTCATCCAGTCATCTCTAGCTGGTAAAGAGCAAACTTCTTAAATGTTTAGTGAACTTAAGGAGAGAGCCTGGAGGCTGCACAGCTAAAAAGTCCAGATGTTCTGCTGTCTTTTAATGCCTCATGAAACTCCAAGCTTGTGTTGTCATTTTCACTGCTGGGCAGATCTGAGCGAAGGCTGGACGCGAGACAGAAGACAGGTTGAGGTCTAAAAACACCAAGAACTCTCAGTAAACAGCTGAAGTAAACACTCTGGCTGCCATAAAGACAACTTTACTTTCATTGTTTAATGACTTTGCTGTTTCTCACTAATGTTTCACAGATGAGATGGAGATTGGTCCCATTGAGGAGGGGGGAGGAGAGCCAGCAGGCGGCCATCTTTCTCCCACTGACTCACTCGCTGCCTTTTCATTCCCTCTCTGATCTGTTTCGCTCCGTCTTTTTCGATCTGATTTCTTCAGACAACTCAATTATGCTGGCTGGGCTCCACTTGTTTTCCAACTAAATATTACACCGTGGATTTTATGAGTCATAAGAAACATCTTTCAGCTCCATCCTATCAGTCACCTTTACGTTTGAAGCCTTCTTGCTAAAACGTGTTTTTTTCCTCCAGCATCTTAAATAAAGACAGAAACCAGAGCAGCACATGTTTGCTGAGGACACGGTGTCCACTGGAAGAACAAAACACAAGTCAAAAACCACACACACACACACACACACACATTCACTAATCTGCTGAACATGCAGGTCCTCATCATCAACCTTTATTTAACCAGGATAAAAAACTCCTTGAGATTAAAAACCTCTTTTCCTAGAGTGTCCTGGTGTTCTGACCCAGAGAAGTCTACTGAGCTTTTCTCTCTCTGCTTTCAGAAGCCACAGACCATGGATCAAGTCAACATGACAAGTGAGTCGACCTTCTCTCCCCAGATAACCTGTGTCCAATCACCAGCTGAACGTGAGCTGTAACACTCTGTGTTTTGTTCTCTCTGTGCGTGTTTGCGTGTTGTGCCGGTCGTCAGGGGCAACGGTGGCGTCGCAGCGACGCAGAAGGAGAAGGTGAAGGCCAAAGATGAGACGTACTGGAAGGAGATCAACGCCGCCATGGCCTTGACCAACTTGGCTCAGGGGAAGGACAGCGTCTCCGGGACAACCAGCTGCATCATCCAGAAGTCCTCCCATATAGCCGAGGTGAAGACTGTTAAAGTGCCATTGTTGCAAAAGTTTTAGCTCCAATTTGCCTATGCAAAGCAGAAACATTTCTCTCCAAAAACTCTCTGTGACATTTAAAGAACCGGTGCTTTAGGAGGAAGGTGGGCTTGTGAATAAAAAAAATGTTTTGG